ATATTGGTTCTACGAATAAGAAGATAAGGGTCAAAATTAATTAGAGGAATCATTCGAAAACTATCTTAAAGGTGTCATATAACCGGAATATTAATTAGAAGAGAGTTAACTCCCTTTAATAACAGTTGAGATATCTACAGACTAAAAATCATGGAAGGCCGATGTGACAGCAAGGTGTGGTGTAATAGTTAACAAGCTTGTCTCGCTAGAACAGTTACAACTGAGTAGTGCGTTCGATCCTCACTGGGTGTCCCGCACTTTTGGCCTTGTGCCACATCTAAGCTACGCTTAGAATATGACCATAAAACTCGGATAAAAAAAAAGTTATCAGTCACGTTGTAGGTTAGCTTGTCCAGTAACTTTCAATCAGTTCACTGGTTGTGAGTTGATCCCAAGGCTTATACTGAGACATCCGGAAGAGGCATATCACGTGGAACTAGAACAATCTACACCGGTGGAAGAAATAAAGAGTTCGTTTCGAAACTTCTGTCATCTAAAGAAGGCAGGACCGTACAACGGCCGAAACGTCGTGAATATGGCAACGAAGATAAGGGCAACAGTTCGAAGAATGTAAATTGTGTAAATAACCCCAAGGATTGTTTGTTTTTTCATTTGCTGAGATGTATTGCATGTAGAGTAGAGCAGCTTTTACAAATACACAAAAGTACCGTTTGTTGTCAAAGCAAAGGAGGTAAAACAAAAGCAGGTATTAAATAAGATTTGGGATATCATTCGCTGCTAAGATATTGAATTGATGCCAATGTTTGCAGCATGTACTAACAAAATGTTGTAATCATACAAGTTTCGAACACCTTTATATTATCACGAAAGAGAAATTTTTTTTATCATTTTATGCGCTTACAGTAACTTCAAGGACACATGGTACAGTGGATAAAGGCGTTGATTAGATCCAGTGACAGGACAGAAAGAGTGAGTTCAATACCCGATTAAGGCAGTGGAGAACTTTTAGAGGGAAATTAACAGGAGATAACTGATAACTGACATTCATTAAACATGGAACTAGAACAGTCTACCCCAGTGAGCGAAATAAAGTGTTCAGTTCGACATTCCCACTACCTGAAGAAGTTCGGAGCGTACAACGGGCGAAACGTTGTAATAAATATGAGGACAATTCTCCGAATAATATAAATAATGTTTTCGGGATATGTTCCAATAACTTGGAAATGCTAAATGCAATAATCAGTCAACGAGTGCAACATAATGGTGAACAAGTGATAATTAGAATGTGATTTCTTTGACATTTCTTTGTGATTTGATTTCTTTATGCAACTAAATCCCTTGTCGAATTCTTAGGAATATGTGGACGACTGTTGCCGTGCACCTAAATCATTGGTTGATTTCTTTGGAACATGCAGCCTTCTGTTACCATGTAGCTAAATCCCTAGCCGAATTCTTTGGGACATGTGTACGACTGTTGCCGTAAACCTAAATCATTAGTCGATTTCTTTGGAACGAGCGGACGCCTGTTACCATGTAGCTAAATCTGTAGCCGATTTCTTTGGAACATGTGGACGACTGTTACCATGTAGGTAACTACCTAGCCGATTTTTTTGTAACATGTGGATCATGTAGCTAAATCCCTTAGCGAATTCTTTGGAACATGTGGACGACTGTTACCATGTAGGTAACTACCTAGCCGATTTTTTTGGAACATGTGGATCATGTAGCTAAATCCCTTAGCGAATTCTTTGGAACATGTGGACGACTGTTGTTGTGCACCTAAATCCCTGTTCGATTTCTTTTGATGGTAGTTTCAAGCAACTAAATCACTGGTCGATTACGTTGGGTCTTGTGGATGATACCTTCATGAAACTAAATTCCCAGTCGATTTCCTTAGAAGATGTGGACGACTGTTGCCATGTCCTTAAATCACAAAGATGTTCTGGGAAACATATAGACGACCTTTGCGATGTAGTTAAATTCCTATCAGACTTTTCTGGAATTTGTGAACGACTTTGAAATGCAACTAAATTGCTGGTCGGTTTATTTGGAACGTGAAGACGACAGTTCCATGCAACTAACTTACTGATCGACTTCTTTGGAACATGTGGGCTAATGTTCCCATGTCACTAACTCACTGGTCCACTTCTTTGGAACATGTGGGCTAATGTTCCCATGTCACTAGTAGGTCTATTTTGAACATATGGATGACTGTTACCATGTAGCTAAATCCCTAGCCAATTTCTTTGGAACATGTAAACGAATGTTGCCGTGCACCTAAATCCATAGTCGATTTCTTTGGAACATGTGGATCACTGTTACCATGTAGCTAAATTCCTAGCCGATTTCTTTGGAACATGTGGATGACTGTTGCCGTTCACCTACATAGTCGATTTCTTTGGAACATGTGGACAAATGCTGCCATAAATCTTTAAGTAAAAGTAAGTAAATCTTTAATCGATTTCTTTGGAAGATGTAGACCTTTGTTGTCATTCAGCTAAACAGCTGGTCGATTTCTTTGGAACATGAAGACGACAGTTTTCATGTAGTTAAATTGCAGGTTGTTTTTTTTGGAAGATGTGGACAACTATTTCCATGAGGCTAAGTCCCTAGACGATTTCTTTGGAACATGTGGACTATTTCATGCAGTTGAATCGCTTATCAATTTTTTGGGTGTGGGCTTGGTTCGGAGCTGTGGACGACTATTTTATGCCAGTAAATCCATGCTCGATTTCTCATGAACATCTAGACGGTTGATGCCATGCAACTGAATCCATGGTAGATTTCTTTGGAACATTTAGATGACTCTTTCCTGCAATTAAATCTCTGGCCGATTTGGGGGAGGGACAGGTGGACGTCTGTTTACATATAGCTAAATCGCTGCTCAGTTTTTGTGAACACGCCGACGATTGTTGACATGTAGCCAGATCCCTGTTCGATTGTCATGTAAAAAGAGGCTGGTCTCTGCCATGCTGCAATGGTTAGCAAGGATGTCTTACTTAGGATCCTAAGTAATAAAGTGCGTTTGATGTTCATTGCGTTTTTTACACTCGTGTCCTTCATAAGTTCAGCTTGATATACATCTCGATACTGTATTGTTTGACCTAAGATAGTTGAAACACCGCCATTTCTGTATGCAGATAAGGATTATTAATTGAAAATTTAAATTGAAGATTTTAATTAAACCCTAAGTGCAATAAAAAACTTAGACCTTATTGGAAAAGGTACCTATCATTGGAAACTCTAATTACATTTCTATAAAGATGTAAGAAAACGAGGGGATATGTCTGCGAGATTAAGTTCAAGAATTTGATACGCAAGCAACAAATGCCGTTATAAATTTCTCGTTTTTGCTCAGGGAAAAATTGGAAAGATGTTTCAATAAACCCCGATCCCTTGAAAACGAGAAAGTTACAAAAAATGCTTTTTCGTCCACCCTTCCCTAATAATTAATTTTTCTTCATGTTCAATGTGAAATGTTCTCGATATGAGACATTCTCTGTTTGTGTGTTGGCAATCCGAATTTTCTTTCTAGAATTGTCAATTAATTATTTTTAATAATATGTAGAAATCTCCACTTTTACCTGAAGACGGTCGCGAGACCAGAAACACGTGTCGTAGTAAAATTATGTAAAACAAAGCATAATATTTTTTTCTAAATAAATCCACATTACAACCAAAAACGTTTGCGGCACCTCTCTTCTTTTTAATATATATATATATATATATAGTGAAATAACGTCAGTGTAGCTAGACAGAAATCATAAAAACTTAACCGACTTTAAATTTGGCAAGCACATGCTTTCTCCATTCGTAGAAAAGCCAACACCCGCGTAATAAAAAATGGAAATTCTTTTAACACCAACAATTTAACTTAAAATAGAGTAAATCCAATTTTTTCATAAGTTATTCTTAGCATCGCTTGAGAATGGAGCCGAGCTCCGAATTTTAAGTAAACTTTAAACTTAAATTTTAAGATTTAAGCTTCCATTTCGAAACATAGCACTTACTGTGTCGCAATGAAGACATATATATATATATATATATATATATATATATATATATATATATATATATATATATATATATATAAAATTCTGGGACATCCGTTAGTCCGTCCAACACACCCTCTAAAATAGATATATATATATATTGATCGATCGAAACCAAATTTGGGTGAGAAGTGTAAACAGGGTGTGTAGCTTCGTACAATAAATTTTCGTTAATTCTTTTGAAAAGTTTTATTATTTAATATACAAATTACTCCCACTATTATTTAAACAATTTGGTGTTTAAAATAACAAATACATATTTAATAAAAAATGCAATATTGATTTTTGCATAAGTTTTTTATATACAAGAATCCACTTTTCAGTTCAACTTGCATTTGCCTGAACAATAAGCAAATCACAAGGCTAAATCTTTAAAAAGTTGGAATATGGCTCCAGAAAGAAATATTTATGTATGGCCGGTTGTATGTTAAATGCTCATGAGTAAGAAATTCTAAGAATTTATTCTTCACTGTTAAAATGGAAAAAATATTTCTTAAAAAATATTGTTTGCCATGAAGTTCTATAAAATTAAATTGTTTAAGAAATTATTAAACCGAGAATTAGTTTTTTGTCAAGGTATTTTCAAAACAAATCTGCTTAATCAAATTTCATCGATTGTTTAGCAAAATTGGAAAATGTCAACGATAATTTCAACAATACTAAATACTGTGATGATTACAAGACTCGTAAAAAAAATTAAAAAAAATTAAGTTACAACAAATTGTTGTCGAACAGAGCAGTCTTGGTGAATTCGGAATCCTTGAAATATTGATAATATGGATCCAGGAATTGGAGAATTATGGTAGACTAGAAAAAAATATTTTTGCACTGAAGTCAGGAAAAAAAGGAAAGGAAAAGAAAAACAAGAGAAAATAAAAAAAGATAAGCAAATCTCAAAGAAAAAAAGGAAAACAAATTAATGAACGAAGGAAAGAAAGAAATAAAGAAAGAAAAGAAAGACGGATTACACAGAATAAATTAAAACATCTAGTGAGAAAGAGGAAAGAATAAGTAGAAAAGAGTGAGTGAGAGAGAGGGAGAGAGAGAGAGAGAAAGACAGAAAGAAAAAGAAAGAATGAAAAATAAAAATAAAAATAATAAAATTACAAAAATAAACATGACAGGAGCAAATTTGAGAGAGAATGTGTGTGTGTGTCTGTGTGAGAGAGAGAGAGAGAATGAGATAGACAGTGAGTGTGAGAGAGAGTGAGAGATTTTGAAAGAAAAGAAAGGAGAGAAAGAAGGAAAGAAAGAAAGGAAGAAAGGATGAAGGAAAGAAAGAAATGAAGGAAAAAAGGAAAGAAAAAAGGAAGAAGGAAAGAAAGGAAGAAGGAAAGAAGGAAGGAAGGAAAGAAAGAAAGAAAGAAAGGAAAGAAGGAAAGGAAGAAGGAAAGAAAGGAAGAAGGAAAGGAAGAAAGAAGGAAAGGAAGAAAGAAGGAAAGGAAGGAAGGCAGAAGGAAAGAAAGAAATGAAGAAGGAAGAAGGAAAGAAAGAAAGAAGGAAAGAAAGAGGGAAAAAGAAAGAAAGAAGGAAAGAAAGGAAGAAGGAAAGAAAGGAAAGAAGGACAAAAAGAAAGAAGGAGAGAAGGAAAGAAAGAAAGGCAGAAGGAAAGAAGGAAAGAAAGAAGGAGAGAAGGAAAGAAAGAAGGAGAGAAGGAAAGAAAGAAGGAAAGAAAGAAAAAAGGGAGAAGCAAAGGAAGAAAGAAAAAAGAAGGAAAGAAAGAAAGAAAGAAGAAGAAGGAAAGAAAGGAAGAAGGAAAGAAAGGAAGAAGGAAAGAATGGGAAAAATAATAAAATTACACAAATAAACATGACAGGAGCAAAGTTGAGAAAGAGTGAGTGAAAGAGATTGAGTGAGAGAGAGAGAGTGCGAGTGAGAGAAAGAAAGAGGAGAGTAAATAAATAAAATTAAAATAGAAAATGTGAAACAGCAAAGTATATTTGGCTGGAGCGAGTACGTGAGAGAGAGAGAGATAGAGAGAGAGAGAGAGAGAGAGAGAGAGAGAGAGAGAGAAATAGACACAGAGAGAGAAATAGGGAGTGTTTGTGAGTGAAAAAAAGAATGAAAGGAAAAAAGAAAAATTCTTTGCTTCGAGTGTGTCCATTAACCAATATAAAATGCCCGTGCAAATAAAATTGTTACAATGTACAATTGGCTTGTCTAGAAGGCCATTATTTCAGTCGACTCGGCTGAAAGTCTTTCGAACGATATGAAAAGAAAAATCAGCTTTCTTTCAACAATGAAACATTTTCTGGTCTCCTCTGGCAACACGTTAATTCACTTAGTATAGAAAGAAGAAAGAAAAAGCCCGGGTTCATTGTGGCCAATGAAAATTGCCTTTTCCTCCCGTCCCTGTCGTAAATGTTGTCTAATTTAGCTTCGGTTTTCGGCAGCTTTTATTTAGTAACTTGAATTGTTTAGGTGAACAGCGACGAACAAACATGATTTATGGTGCCCCTTGGCCTCCAATCAGTACGTGTTAAACAAGTAATCAGGTCTGTTCCTTTTGATTCATTCAAGTGGGCATGGACTCCACGACCATGGCTCAGGAACACTGCACCGTTTAGCTTCAAGCCGGTGGGCATGTATCGTAGAATTCCTTTGTTTGTCAAAAATACGTCAACCGAGCCTCGTGGCACCAACTGCCTACAAATCTCCTGTTGTGAACGAAGGAAAGATTACTGGACTGACGACAGAGATGCGGTTCAACAGAAGGATGCTAAGGATAACTTGGTCCCAGCGTGTGAGCAACGATGAGGTCTTAGAGAGGTTGCCAACAAGGAAGAGGCTTATACTTAATAACAGAAAGAAGCAGCTGAAGTTTCTGGGACATATAATGAGGAAGGATGGTCTGGAGAATCTGATACGCACAGGTCGAATAGGGAGAAAGAGAGACAAGGGAAATCAACGCGTGTCATACCTGGCGGGCTTAAGTAAGTGAATGACAGAATGTTAGACATTTTGACGGTCGTCTTCAAGTATAGAATCCAGAGGTTGGCAGTGAATATTTCGGAGACAGTAGGAAAGCGTAGTTCAGGTTCGCAGTGGATATCGTAGCAAAGTAGCCGAGCGTAGTTCTTCCTTCTATCATCTTCGCCTGTCAAGTTGGCACTGGTCTTTCCGGTAGAGTAAACAAAAATGGCCGCCTTTATATATGACGGATACAATGTTCTGCGGCTTCTGATTGGTTAATCTTCTATTGGTAGACTATAAAGGGAATTAAGTCATTTTGACTAACTCACTAGTTACATGTAGAGGGTTGGGTTCATCTCCCTCCCTTTGCATTCTATCATTCTGAGAATTTTATGTATAGTATTTATGTATCATCCAATTTTTATGGTTTGGGGCGCGTTTTGGTAGGTCCCCTTGTGATTATTATGGTGCATGAAGGATTGAGTGGTGATGGACAAGTTCTTGTTGGATGAGTAGACTATAATGGGTCGTGAATCAGATTAATTAAGATAGTTAGTGAAGACCATTCCCTCCCCTTTCGGCCTTGTGCCACAATTTGTAATTTTTTACAAATAAATAACCTAGTTACATGCAGAGGGTTGGGTTCATCTCCCTCCCTTTGCATTCTATCATTCTGAGAATTTTATGTATAGTATTTATGTATCATCAAATTTTTATGGTTTAGGGCGCGTTTTGGTAGGTCCCCCTTGTGAGAATCCGGTATTATGGTGCATGAAGGATTGATTGGTGATGGATAAGTTCTTGTGGTGAATGAGTAAAGTGTAATGTATGAATGGGTCGTGAATCAGATTAGCTAGGTATAAGATAGTTAGTGTCGACCAAACTTCACCCCTCCCCTTTTCGGCCTTGTGCCACAATTGTATTTTTTATATACAATAAATAACCTAGTTACATGCAGAGGGTTGGGTTCATCTCCCTCCCCTTGCATTCTGTCATTCTTAGAATTTTATGTATATCATTTTATGTATCATAAAATTTTTATGGATTGGGGCGCGTTTTGGTAGGTTCCCCTGGAGAGGATGTGGTATTATGGTGGTTGGAGGATTGAAAGGTGATGGACAAGTTCTTGTGGTGAATGAGTAAATTGTAATGTATGAATGGGTCGTGAATCTGATTAGCTAGGTATAGGATAGTTAGTTTGGACCAGCCTCTACCCCTCCCCTTCATCGGCCTTGTGCCACAATTCTGTATTTCAGGAATAAATCTCCTAGTTACATGCAGAGGGAAGGAACTTGTTGAGAGCTGCAACGGATAGAAAGAGGTGGAGAGCCATGATTGCCTACGTCCTGAAGAAACATGACATATAAAAAGAAGCCTGGAATGTCTCCTCTTTTATGTAGTAGCGAAAGCTGGATAAATTCGTCACAAATGAAAAAAAAAAGAGTGTTGTGGCGTCAAAGATTTATTGCTGCTACTTTGGTTTGTTATCGACAAATAAAAATATCTACGCCATACAAATTTTATTTTGGAATGATATCTACATAGTAAATGATATAACATACCAGGTGTAACAGCAGTATTATTCATCTCAAAAAAATGTTTAATCTCTGAAAAAAAAAAAAAAAAAAAAAAACTAATTGAGGTTCCTTTTTGCAGGTTTTCAGATAAGACGTTTAGCTATCTTGACATCATTTGTCGTAAGAATCACTGAAGAACCATTGGAGTCATTCAGCTAGAAAGAGAACGGGTTAAAATCGTTTTGAGTCAGACCCACTGTCGTTCTAACTGAACAATGGTGAAAAGAAAAAGATAATTCACGACTTCAGTAATGTTACGAACATTCATACCCTGGGTTCCATCTTCAAAGTCCATTCAAGAACCATCAAGAGAACGGTGAATAAATTTAAAAAAAAAGAGGAAACGGTAGAGAGGAAAGCTAGATCAAAAGGTCACAACAAAAGAAGGCTCGTTATTTCAACTTGGAGATAAAAAAAAAGATCAATTAAAAAAAAGATCCAATTCAATTCATAAGAGAGGAGTTTCATTTATGACAGTCCAAAGAGCAGTGAAAATGAAATCGTACGTGAAAACTGTGAGGCAATTTGTTAGTTCAGGACAGAAAGTTAAAATGTTAGAGAGGACGAAGATCATCTTGAATAAGTTGGAAAGTGATTGTGGAATCATTATTTATTTCAATCCTTCATGAGCTTCCGATCTTTAGCTATGATTAATTAACGATGAACATGTCATTTTCGTTTATGATCGATATCATCACGATTCTTCTATTAAGCTTCGAGAGTAATTATACATACTTATCGCTCAAATTAGAGTCTAATAGTGTTACAAAAGCCTCGGAGAATTCCAGTAAGATATCTTTAATTATTTCTAAGATAGAACGGTTCAGAATTTAATCTAACAATTGGACAATTTTGCTGTTACACTCGGTATATATATATATATATATATATATATATATATATAACTGATGTGGACCCAAAGTTAGGGCCACGGAAGGAAAATACGGAACATGGATTAGAGGTAAGAAAGATATATTAAACAAAAAGGTTACAAAGATAGTGTAAGTGTAAGCGGAGCTTACTATGTGCTAGTGTCCAATATTGGTAGTCGTACGCGGCTGATACTACGGTATTAGAATACTCTCTCGCTCTCTCTCTCTCTCTCTCTTTCCGCCTCTTCTCCTAGAGTATTATATCGCATACTCTATATAGTCCTGGAAGAGTCCATGTTGTAGGTATGTTACGGTCTCACAACAATAACATAAAGAAAATGTAATTAAAATATTTTTTTTTATTTATTTATATTCTAGCGGTAAACTGCATGTATATCAGCTAAAATGTCTACACCGTACACATTTTTACTTGGAATCATATCTACGTAGTAAAACATACTAACATATATATCAGAAAAAATATAACTTCCGATCCTTAGCTATGATTAATTCATGATGAACATGCCGTTTCATTTATGATCGATTTCATCATGATTCTTCTGTTAAACTTGGAGAGTAATTATACATTCTTATTTTTTCAATGTAGTGTCAAATAGTGTTATAAAAATCTCGGAGAATTCCAGTAAGATATCTTTAATCATTTCTAAGATACAACGGTTCAAAGCTTAATCTAACAATTGGACAATTTGGCTGTTACACTTAGTATATATGAAGAAAAATATACAGAAAAAACAAACAAAAATCTTAATATATAATTATGCTGTATTAATGTTAATATAAAGTCAACGTCGGACGTTTCGGTCTATTTTAGACGTTGACTTTATATTAACATTAATACAGCATAATTATATATTAAGATTTTTGTTTGTTTTTTCTGTATATTTTTTTTCATACTGTCGGATCTATATCCATATATTTGCTTGTACACTTAGTATATATATATATATATATATATATATATATATATATATATATATATATATATAAAATAAAGAAAATGTAATTAAAATATTTATTTTTATTTATTTATATTCTAGCGGTAAACTGCATTCATATCAGCTAAAATGTCTACACTGCACACAGATTTATTTGGAATCATATCTACGTAGTAAAACATAATAACGTATATATCACACAGAGAAAATATAATTAAAATATAAAAAAATATTTCTATGACATTCTCTCGAAATCAAGGCAAGTATTTTCCGTGTTCTTGATGCAGATTCATGACACGTACATCGCAATAAAAGTGTAGATCACATACCAAAGTAGAATAATCACCCGTAGATAACAAGCCAAAGTAGCACCGATGTTTTTTTTTTTTTCTTACTAATGTTGCACATTCTATCGGTGGAGCATGTGACGAAAGAGAAAATTCTCCGGAGAACAGAAACTAAAAAAAAAAAAAAAAAAATCATAATTCAAAATGGCGTAATTCTCTGAGACACATAATGAGAAAAGAAAACACGATGAATTAAAGACTTAAGAATACATCGAAGGCAAAAGAAGCAGAAGTAAATGGTGAGTAACTGATTCTATAATAAATTTAGTCCAATACAATGCTTGAAAGACAGTCAGATTAAAGGGTTACTTTTAAAGCGTTATGAAAAATGAGGTATGTTATGTCGATAAAAGAGAATGTAGTAAGAAAAGGATTGTGAGGAGAATGGAAAATTATTGACCCTTGAATTGAAGTGATTAAGATTGTAATGTTCAGAGAAGCATCTAAATTTTTTGCTGTTCGTATACATTTTTTCTTTCCGAAAATAAAAGAATATATATATATATGGGAAATCATCTATGACAAACTGGAAAGAATTTTCATCAGACGTGTTTCCTTTAAGATTTCATCGGTGCTTTGCAGGAATTTCTGCGCTTTGTTATAGATTTCCCTAAAATTGTTCTTGATACATAAACATTTATATATCGTTTTTCCTTTTATAGATATATATTAAGAAATGGACAAAGTCCGACAATTTATTTATTAAAGACATTTTTATGTTTAACGTTCTTTTTTATAGATACAAGTATTTAAGTAAATGCTCTGTTTATAATAAACAGTATTAAATAACATTTACCGGCCTGAATGTCCGAGAAATTTTCATAGAAAATATTCGTCCTTTGATAGGATTCGAACCTGCATCCTATACGGAACCGTCATATACGCTGACGTGCCTTGACCGCTCGGCCATAAAGGATCGTTCGGTTGGCAAGGTTGAACATACATACAACAAGGGAACATTGAAGTCAACACTTAGAGGCCTCTAAATGGTGACTTCAATGTTCACTTTTATATTTACACACGCTCTATCTCTGATATTGAGGACTTTATCCCATAAATATAGCACACCTTGCTAAGAGTATATTTCTTCATATATATATATATATATATATATATATATATATATATATATATATATATATATGTATGTGTGTGTGTGTGTGTGTGTGTGTGTGTGTGTGTACCGCCCGCGCTTTGACGATTCAGATATGAATAAAAATATATCCGTAAAAGACAATACCTACAAATACTTGTTGAAATATAAAATCCTTACATTTATAATGTCCATCAGAGGACGAAACGCGTGTATACACACACACACACACACATATATATATATATATATATATATATATATATATATATATATATGTGTGTGTGTGTGTGTGTGTGTCGGGGGTATGCGTGTTGAACAATTAAGATATGAATAAAAATACATTTGTAAAAAGACACAGATTGTCAATACTTGTTGCAAAATAAAATCATTACATTTACGTTGATAAAGTTCACCAGAAGACGAATCGCGTCGGTATATATATATATATATATATATATATATATGCATATTGAGAGAGAGAGAGAGAGAGAGAGAGAGAGAGGGAGAGAGAGAGAGAGAGAGAGAGAGAGAGAGAGAGGAATGTGTGTTTGTGTATTCCCGTGTGTGTGTAGGGATATATGTTTATAAACAGTGTAGACATAGAAATAAACTCATCAATTTTTTGTGTATTTATTGCGGTAAAAAGCACATTTGAAAATTCTTGCAAAAATCAAATAATTGTCGGTTTTTAATGAAGCTTTCAGGACTTATTCACAAATGAATGGGATTATTTTAGAAATGGATTATTTTAGAAAATGTTGGTAAATATAATATTTTATATCTTTTATACAGCACTTAGCATAATTCGAGAAATTTAATGGTGTAAACCTTTTAATTCATAATAAAAATGAAATTATTTAATTATTTTTTTTTCTTTTATGAATACGATACATTAAAGCCAATATTATCTTAAGAAAATAATTTTCAGTCATTAATGACATTTTACAATTTTTTTTTCATTTTTTTCAATTTTAATTAGAATAATTTATAAAGTTTTAGATATTTTAAAATTCTAATTCAATGGTGTAAAGTTTAGGAGATATTATTATGAAGTACTTACATTTACTAATCATAAACGGTAACGCTTATTGCAATTTAAGGCCTTCGAATAATTTAAAAAGCATTTTGAATTTTTTTTTATGTGTATAAACTTACCGATTTTTACAGATAAGGATGTTCATACACGACATTGTCAAATGATAAGAGTGATAACTATAAATTAAAAGCTAAAGTCTCTAGAATTCAATAAAACATTAGATAATATTTCCCTAAATTTTAAAGATTAACGAGTACTTAAAAATAATATAAAGAAGACGCTCATGTTATATTTTCCAATTATTTTTTTACAGATATAGCCACTGCAGGAAAACATTAGATAAAGAGCCATCTGTCATCAAGCTATCAACATGTCAACAGCTTAAATAGACAGCTACGTCTCTTTTAAAAATATATATCTGAGATATTTTAAACTTAAAATATGTAATATTTGTTTCACATCAGATTAAATAAACATTAGATCAGATAATATTCCCCAAATAAAGTGTCAGTAAACTACATTTTATTTTTTTAAGATTTTATATATATATATATATATATATATATATATATATATATATATATATATATATATATATATCTGTGTGTATCTATGCGTTAACATTTCAGATAGAGTATATCTGTAAAAGGGCAATATGAATAAAGAAAAAGATAACTTATCTTCACCGACGCGTTTCGTCCACTGAGAGACTTTATCACTTTATGAAAGTGAATGCAAGTACTTTGTAACAAGTATTCATATGCAAGAGCAAGTGTTATCGGTTTTTAGCAATTAAAGAAGAAAGTGATTAAGTAATGTTTTTGAAAATAAATCTCAGCTACATCACTTTACGCACTTTCCTTTATTAGACATTGAATTGTGTCACTTCATGTCTTCCATAGCTTGCCAGACATTTCAGCTAACCTGGTGAATATCTATGAGCGTTCCTAAACTTAAAAAAAAAATTCAAAATCCAATAAGATTATGACATTATTGCAAGCACTTTTTTCCCGTCATTCAAGTTTTAAAAGCAATACCGGAAGTAGATCACGAAGCAAGAAAGTCACTTTGACCTACAATAATTTTTAAACAGCCACCAATGAAATCTGGTTTGGCGATGAAACAACTTTTCTTTCGAAGCTCTTGTGTTGATACTTCGCATGTTGTCAAAGTGTTGTGCGTGTTTATTTATTTATCTTTCAAAAGACTCATGTCAATGCTGCTTTGTATTTTTTATTTATAAGGCTTGCAGCTCGTAAGTAAGTGAACTTATTTCCTACAAACAGAAACGAACAAAAGAAAGTAAAACGACATCAAAAACGTCATCGCTATATATGGAATTTATTAGTGAAATAGCAATTTCGAGACATTTTTACATCATGTTTTATGTAAAGTCTTTCTTCCAGGAGTAACCCTAGGAGACTTTTCTTCTTTACATTTTTGCTTTGATTAAACATTTTTCTGAGCACGAAAATTTCACGCAAACATTTCTGAGCGCCATTTCAAACCTAAAATAGAATTTACAATAAAAGAAATTATTTCATATGTAAAACAAAATTAAAATAATTAATGTGTTGAAAAAAAAATCATTTGTCTTTATTTCTAAAACTGATTCTCGTCATGAAAATAAAATATGTTAATAATTTTATTATTTTAAGACAGAATGAAATGGTTATTTTGTTTTAATTTTAATTTTTTTCTTTTAGAAAACTGTTCCTCTCAAATTCGAATAGATTACCAAAAGGATTTATTTGTTTGAATTATTATTAAAGAAAGTAATGCAGTTTTTAATACTTGCTCAGTCGAGCTCACAAATTTAAATGAAATTCAAATAAGAAGATTGTATTCATTTGGATTTTCAAGATAGTAGGGTCGGTTTTATTTGACAATCAAAAAGAAACACTGAATCCAGGAGAAAAGTTATAGTGTCTTACTACATCCCATCACTGCCGAACAGACGTCGAACTACCGCCGAATAGGCGTCGAACTACCGCCGAATAGACGTCGAACTGACGTCGAACTACCGCCGAATAGACGTCGAACTACCGCCAAATAGACGTCGAACTACCGCCAGACACAATGAATGAATGTACACTTGACGAGGCACTGTGCTATAAGAGAATATTGGACCTCAAACTCATACACGACCTCAAGTGGAACTTTTATATGCAGATAAAATGATTGTCTCCCTGTACCGCTTCAGTAAATACCTGAATCCTCATGCTATCATCTACCTTTATAAGAGCCAGATCAGGCCGAAATGGAAGACATTTGTCATAGTTGGGTGAGAGATGCCCAGTCCTGACTTTTCTCTCTTGATAGAGCTCAAAAACATCTCCCTTGCTGGAGAAGAATTATGTTCAACCATTCAACGTCTCTCTCATAGGTGGGATGTGGCGAACCTCACACCGCTCTATCGGGCGAAATACATTCTGTCAGGTCCTAACCTTCACGGCTAGGACCTGCCATGCCGCTTACATTGTAACAAACCACCCATATTCCCTTCGTAGTCCATTGACGAGAAGTAAGTTCCTCTCGAACAGCTTCTTCTCATGAACCATTCCTCTGTGGAACAGACACTCAAGTGGATACTTCCTGATCATAATCTTAACCTGTTAAATTCTATACTTAACCATTATCTTCCCTTCGTATCCATATTTGGTGAACAGTCCCGTAGAAGCAAGCGAGCCAGAGTGGCTTGCATCTGGTGCATAGGAAAATCAGCGTCTTACCTTAACGTGTGGCACGTGACATCGGCAAGTTTGCTCCGTGAAAATGGCTTTACCCTCTCGTCTAGCAGTATGTGTGGTAATGAGGGTTTTTGTACAGTTCGGCATGCTTCCACCAATAGCAAGCCGTGTGTTGATTGGTCGAACTGGAGGAGGCTATTTGCCTGGGTAACCGAGAATAAAAGCGAAGAACGCTGATTGGTGTTGGCCTGATAAAAGGTGGCTGAAGCAGTGGGAAAAAAAAAGAAAAAAAAGAAAGAAGAAGAAGAGAGAGAAAAGAAGAAGAAGAAGAAGAAGAAGAAGAAAGAAAGAAAAAGAGAAAAAGAGAAGAAGAAAGAAAGAAAAAGAGAAGAAGAAACATTTACGTTTTGAAGTGTTCAGAAAGCAAAAACGGCGGATTGAACCAGCGGTATCTTGATTTGTACAAAACGTCGTAGTAATAGAGACTCATTTAAACTACACCATATAATGTTCCCCTTAACTTAACCTTCTAACTCGAGTGGCCCCCGAGCCTTATGAAAGTAGAACCTTACTGTAAAAAAACAAACAAAACACATTAACCCTTAGTTTAATAAACAAGGCCACGAGTGTTAAGCACTCAGTAAAGGTCATAAGTGTAGTTATAGTGAAGCTTAGGGGTTACAATGAACAGTTAATTTGCCAACTCCAAGGAGGTTAAAGGAATATTATAATGACGAGTAAACACACGGGTAATACGAACAAAACAAGATAAGGAATTTACATGCTTGAAGTTGTGTCATTAGCTCTTTTCAGAAAAGTAAATAACACATTTTTAAAGTCCGTAGTTTCAGTGAACTGCCATGAAGATGTAATGTTAATACAAAAGATTAAATAATCTGACACAAAATCATATTAAAATATGTTTAAAACAAATGTCAGAGAATTCCTTGTTTACAGAAGGAATATATGATTGCATATGTTCAAAAACAGGCGAAGAGAAATAGTCTGAAATACTTAGCTTTCTTGGATTGTTGAAAGAAAACTCTTTGAAATACCCCGTACCAGGTTAAAACCAATAATATAATTGGCGAACAATTTTACATTGTCAAAAACATTAGCGCTGGACGCGTGAACAGAAACGAAACCTTCAGACTCTCTTCTGTTATTAATTTAATATTTTTTCGCATTTTACATAAAAAAAAGGAATTTCGCATAAGCTCGCTATTTTCTTTTCTTTCTTTATCTTGTCTCAATGGCAAGGTTTTCATAAAGGCTCGCGAATTTATTTCCATTTTTTTCTCACCTCGCTAGCCAATCTATGCGAAGACGAGGTTTTTATTGATCCAAAGAAAATTTCACATATGCTACCACCCCGGTCAGGGTTAAGCAGGGAACAACAGCAATTAAGAAGTTGTTCCAACACTCATCCAAAACTCCAATCACACGACCAGAGGCCTTGTTGTTGGATGTAGTTTATAGTCATACACCAATTAAGGTGGTTGACCCCTTGCCTGAATGACTATAGGGCAACCATCCCCTGGTGGTCACTTCCAGCAGGACACAGTATCACAAATCAAAAAATAATGGCAAACTGCTTCATAGAACAAAAAAATTCCGACGCGGATGCCAAGCAGTAGAGCAAGGGTCGGCAACCAATAACATGAGAGACGACCTTCAAATAAAATTTGTTATATGTCATTTTCCATAGAATGTCTACACATCTCAGTGCACTAAAAATATTAGACTATCTGCCAGTTATCTTTCATGAGTCTTATTTTACCAAGTTGCGTTGCCTACGTTTAATGTCAAATAATGGATACATATTTGTTATGACCCGTGGCTACATTAAAAGATAACAGAAGCGAAAGGAACGATAAAGTGAAAGAGGCCAGGGAGAGACTGACATGCGAGGTAGCAGAAATCTAAAGACAGTTAAACATACGCGCATTATACATACATGCCTCATGAATGTGTGGATGATACCGCCTGTGTATGTACGTAAGTGTATATGTTTGCAACTAGTTGTACTCGTATGTATGGGTATATGTGCTTCGTTTTTGTTTGATGTGTGTGTGTGTTTCGTTTGTGGAACAATTTTCAATAACAGTTTCAGACTTACACGTCATAATTTCATCCATTTCACTTCGGTTGATTTTTTTCACTTTGAAGTATTTTGACGTTCCTTGAGGAAAAGTAATTTTTGTTAGGTGTTGTTTTAATTTTAGATTTTCTTTTGTTTTTCTGATTTCTCAATGTTTATTTTCATTATGGTTTTAAATATTTAGGCTGACAGGGGTCTGCATATGTAATTTTCCTTAGTTTTTCATTAATGGCCTTCGTCCGGCCGGCGATCCGTCATTATAAGACGATCCGGCCCGCGGGGTCGAATGAATTGCCGACCCCTGCAGTAGAGTATGCTGATTTCAAATTTCTGGCGAAGTGAATTGCGTCAGGGTGCTCTTTTTCCCACAGACGGTGCTCAAATGACCCTACTTTTCTGTGCAGTCGACAAACAACGCGCATGCGCGAAATTAAAAAAAAATATAAAATGACAACAATTTACCCATCGCACCCGGTACAAATTAATGTCTTTGTAACCTCTATGTAACGTAGTCACAGTGTTGTTTTATTAGTTGTGTAGGTTAAAGATACGTATATTGAATAAGTAACGTAATATCTAGAACTGAACTCAATATATTTTAACAAGATAAGAGACTAGTTATGTCGATATCTTTTGATATGTTCTTTAGTTTCTGTCTCTTGTCGTGAAGGAACTGCCTACACAATAATATTCAACGAAACATCGTAAGAACATATGACAAATTTTAGAAACTATCATATTCTGTATTAATGTTGCTTTCACCTGATCTTAATTAATAGAGGACTTTAGGGATGGAATGGAAAGGGAGATTCGACACCTGGATGGACAGTTAAACAATCTAGAATAATTATGGATCCAACTTTCGAAAGAATCTCGTTGGATCCACGCGAAGAATAATTGAGTCGGTTCTCAAAGCAAATGGTTTTCAAACTGGTACTAGCGTAATATACCAAATAAAATAACTGGTGAGTATATATTTTTTTTGTTACTATACTTCATCCGTTAAAAGCCTCGAGGACAACTCAAGGCAGAGGCTTACTGAGTGAAATTGCTGTAAGGTGGAAGTAGTGGACATTATGAAGATATGCAGGATAGACATCGGATAACACTCAATTTGAAGACGTAGTGATCAGGGAAGTATTCTCTCGGGAGTAACAGTTTTGGGAAAGAAGCTGTCTACGTGGATCTTGCTTCTTATCATGAATGGAATGGGGATTATTTACTAACGTGAAGGCAGCATGACTACTACTGGATGTGAAGGTCTGAAATGGTGGCACTAAGGAATATAGCTCGTTTGAATATTTGCCACGGAAATAGCAATAGAATAGAGTCTGTAGGATAAGAGTTGCAGGGTGAAAAATAATTCATCACCCAGAAGGCCGCATAATTACTTTTGAACTCTATTGAGGTTTGAAAGTGAGGACTGGTCAGCACCAGTCCATATATGATAGCAACGCTTCATTCTGGGTTTGATTGGATTATTGTAAACATCAAGAGTTAGGTATTTTCTGGAGCGATTATTCAAATATCCTTAGTGATGGTACGAATGTTCCATTTGAAGTCTGGAAGCATCTTTAGACCCAATAAGAGTTCGAAGCAAGGTACCTCTTTGAGAGAATGACCGCTCATCAGGATTGGAGCGAATTTAGTTTCCGCTTGGTTGCGATATAATTTTGTTTGTGACGTATTGAGTAATTCAGATCAATTTTTTCTATGAGAACTGTGAGAGATAGGTCAGAGGAGAGATCAGCACTGTTTTGGTTTATTACGTTTTACGGTAAATCAACCCCAATGGGTTACTTAACGCTGACAAGTGTTTTAGGGTAGGTTCGCTTGTATAAAATAGGTATTCTTTGTCAGAAACAAGTTTGTAAATCAGGTTTCATGAACGTATTTTTGTAAAGAGGATTTGTAGAGAGTCTGATTTTGTTTATTTTGTTTTACGGAGTATCATCATCTCAATGGATTATTTAACGCCTACAAGATATTTAGGATAGGTTCGCTTGAATAGAATATGTATTCTTTGTAAAAATAATCAGTTTGTAGATTACGTTTCATTAACATATTTTTGTAAAGAGGGTTTGTAGAGAGTCAGGTTTGCTTTATTTTGTTTTACAGCATATAAATATCTTAGTGGGTTATTTAACACCGACAAGATTTTTAGGACAGGTTTATTTGAATCGAATATGTATTCTTTGTAAAAAATCAATTTGAAGACTAGGTTACATTAACGTATTTCTGTAAAGAGGATTTGTAGAGAGTGTGGTTTGGTTTATTTTGTTTTACGGTATATCGACATCACAATGGGTTATTTAACGCCGACAAGATTTTATGGATAGGTTCGCATGAATAGAATATATATTCACAATAGAATATGAAATCAGTTTTACATCAGGTTTCGTTGACGAATATTTGTAAAGAGTTTCTGTCGACAGTGAAATATATTGCTGGTAATTCCCCCCGCCCCACCAAAAAAGCTATTGCTGGTATTTTTACTATAAAATACCTATTTTTACAGTTTCACAGTGTTTTGACTCCAGTTTGTGGGTTAAATATTTGCCATAGCTGAGATCCCTAACAGGTGCTACCATCCCAGGTCAGGGTGAACCTTGGAAAAACAGCAATTAAGAGATGCTTCCACGTTCTTCAAAACCTCCCGATCAGAGGCCTTGCTACCGCATGTAGTTTATCTTCCTATCCAGGCCACAGGCACTGCTCACAAAAACATATTTGTAAGTATACCCATATAACCTGGTACGATCCGCATATATATATATATATATATATATATATATATATATATATATATATTACTAAAGATCTGAGAATGTTTGAGCATTAAAGGTACAACTGACTTTGTGTAATATTATAATCCTTTGAGAACCTATTTAATATCAGTTTTTGTAGGCTTTTCCTTTCTCAGCCGTTTCTAAGAATCAATTTACATGACGGTTATTTCTGTCTTCCATTTTTTTAACTAAAGTTATTTCTGTCTTCCATTTTTTTAAACCAAGGTTATTTCTGTCTTCCATTTTTTTTAACCAAGGTTATGACTATCTTCCATTTTTTTTAACCAAGGTTATTTCTGTCTTTCATTATTTTAACCAACGTTATTTCTGTCTTCCATTTTTTTTAACCAACGTTATTACTGTATTTCATTTTTTTTAACCAACGTTATTTCTGTATTTCATTTTTTTTTAACCTAGCTCCAATCCATCTTCCTTTGACACTATATTGCGTGTTGATAAACACTTTAACCGAGAGTGCAAAACGGCTCGATAAACAATTAAAGAACTTGT